CATAACTTAAGTCCCATTTTGCCCACAGTATTCAAACTTCATAGGATGATTGCCCATATTAGGTAGAAGACCCCTATTGATTTTGGGGTCACAAGGTCAAAGGCCAAGGTCACTATAAGCTAAATACTAAAAATGGTTTCCGGAGCATAACTTAAGTTCCATTTGGCCCACAGTATTCAAACTTTATAGGATGATTGCCCATATTAGGTAGAAGACCCCTATTGATTTTGGGGTCACAAAGTCAAAGGTCATGGTCACTATTAGCTAAATACTGAAAATGGTTTCCGGAGCATAACTTAAGATCCTTCTGGCCCACAGTATTCAAACTTCATAGGATGATTGTCCATATTTGGTAGAAGACCCCAATTGATTTTGGCGTCACAAGGTCAAAGGTCAAGGTCACTATTAGCTAAACAATGAAAATGGTTTCCGGCGCATAACTTAAGTTCCATTTGGCCCACAGTATTCAAACTTTATAGGATGATTGCCCATATTGGGTGAAAGACCCCTATTGATTTTGGGGTCACAAAGTCAAAGGTCAAGGTCACTATTAGCTAAATACTGAAAATGGTTTCCGGAGCATAACTTAAGATCCTTTTGGCCCACAGTATTCAAACTTCATAGGATGATTGTCCATATTTGGTAGAAGACCCCAATTGATTTTGGGGTCACAAGGTCAAAGGTAAAGGTCACTATTAGCTAAACACTGAAAATGGTTTCCGGCGCATAACTTTAGTTCCATTTGGCCCACAGTATTCAAACTTCATAGGATGATTGTCCATATTGGGTAGAAGACCCCTATTGATTTTGGGGTCACAAGGTCAAAGATCAAGGTCACTATCACCTTTGAACTGGAAACAGTTTTCGCTCAATAACTCGAGTATTAATCAACCTACAGCTGTAAAATGTTAAAGGATTAACAGCTTTATACCCCTGAAGTCTTTTTTGTCCATCCGTTGTTGCATTTTTACTTACAAGATAAAAACTTGATGGTGGTGCTTTGAAAACAGCAACTGTATATATACATGAATGTTCTTCAGCTATAAATGAGGATTGTTTTTTGAAGGAGGTAATACTGTATTTAATTCCCATGTCTTACAAATGCTTCATCCTTACTAAAAGAAAATGTACTTTCGGGCATATAATGCTCCGCCTAGCGGTGCACTTGTTTCTTTTGGTTATTTCACAATATTATACATTCAAAAACATTTTCAAATTTTCATGAAAATTAGCGTGAATCTCTACTTTTAGCAATCATTCTGGAGACCACACATTCGGCCAAATTACCTTATTTCTCCTTAATAATATTAGACCCAATATAATTATTGTTACTGCCCAAAAGACATTGTTTTGTAAATCAAATTGACAAAACGAAGACAAGTCGGTAAGTAGGTCAAAAACAAAAAAGGGTAATACGGATACAAAACTTTGTACTGTTATGTTATTCGGTAAGCAACTTTTTTTGTATATTTCAGTCCTAATTTATCAAGTAAAAAATGTATGCTTCAAAGCACCAAGCATTGTTTCACATCTGCACTGATCAATGACCATTTACAAAGGACAAAAATAGTTTAATCACATCTATTTAAACATGATTGTGAAAAAAAAATCTTGTAACTTTAATGATTACATTGGAGTTCTAATCCGCACTGGTGTGATATACTAGGTTGCAAGGTCGTGCCCTTGGTCGTGCCCTTGCAGTAGCTCGAACCAAGAAGTTCATGGTTAATTACTAAATAATTTCTGAATACAACTAATGTCTAAAACATGTTTTAATTACCTGCACTTTAACATCAGTGATGCAACTTTAATATGATCTAATGATCTAATAATCTTATCCGGAAATGTGGTCTTTGTTTAAAGTAATCTAAAAATGTCACGACGGTTTTTTTATACGGCTTACAACACACGTAATCGAAGTCGCTATGTTACAGCTATATCATTGTATTGTCAACGCATGCTCTACGACTACTTTTCATTGTTAAAGGATGATTGCGATCAAGCGTTCTTTAGCCTTTTATAAAATGACACAATTTTAATGCATTATTTATGTCCGAAAAAAAACCCTATTCTTTTTATGAAACGTTGACTGACTGTCTGAATATGTTATATTTTCATTCAACAAACGACAGACAAAGAATGACCTAGTGGAAAAATATTGACTTGTAACTTGATTAGGCACGGCAACATTCTATTATTTTATAATGTGTTGTAAACAAACAAAAGGTTGTCACGAGGAAGTGCTTTAAATTACCCTAAATACGTGCAATTGATTTGCCTTGCTTTGAATTTGGAACAGTTCATTAGAAAATTATAGGGAGATCAATATCAAAATAAAGGAACCCAGCAGAAGAGTGTTCAGAGCTTGGCCAGATTACACGGACGGTCAAGCTGACCTGGGGTTTTACTGCTGTACTAGGATTTCGCTAAATAAAGGCTGATTACGTTCGGTCCCATTAGGTTAAGGGCAAACAATTTACACCATTATTAATAGAAAAACTGATAGGGATTCATTATTCATAGACGTTTAAAATGAATTAACGAACTTGTCATCAAATATTTAAACAACAAACCAGAATGGGATAATGGAAGTTATACTGGCAGTTTCAATAAGCAGTTGTAGTCATATGTAATGGCATTCATATGATTAATTGGTACAATTTGATCTAATGAGAGTTTATAAATAAGGTGGCTGATTTCTGCCATTTTGTCTGTTCGTGTCTCCGACCCTCAAAGGTCGAGCTCGTGAACATTTTTATTGTGTTTCCCCTTCCATTTTTGAAGGGCGTAGACACGATCTGGCTGAAATTTAATCAGCCTGCATATATATCAGAAAAAAATTATTAAATTGGAATTGATTTTTATTTTGTTTTTCGTTTTCTCCATTATAGTCTTTTTGGAAGTAAATAATTACTATACTATTTACCGGTCTTTGCCATAAACTGTATCTGCTCATCAGAATTCAAAAATGATAAAAAAAACCTTGATTTAATTATTTTGCTTGGTTCCTGATTTTTATATGTTACTGATTGTTCTAATATTTACTCAGTAAAATGCATGTGCATTAGGAAATTTCATTTTAATTTGCAATGATTAAATATCGCTTATACATATTTCAATTTGATAAACACAATCAATAAATATTACATTTCAATTAAAATGCCATTTGGTTTTGTTGTAATTCCATAAATAGGATGCCATTTTCATACTCGTACAAGGCGGTGAAAGAGTAATAATAGCGCTGTTTGAACTAGTTCATCAAATTTGACATGCAACAACTATTAACGCATTTTCAAATTAAATTCCTGAAATTTTAAGAGGCAACAAAAGAAGGAATTTGCCTTGAGTGCAATGAAAGTAAAAGAGCAATTGAAAATTGCAGACTATCGAACATTGCAGACTATATTTGATTTATAATTGAAAGACAAAAGATTGTGCAATATCTCTTAATAGTAGATTGCAATCTTTTTAATGCTTTAAATATTTTATAGATTATTAGGATTTTAAGACGTGTACAAAATAATTGTCTTGTCTTGCTTCGCCTCGCCTTGCCTTGCCTTCTCTTGTCTTGTCTTGTCTTGTCTTGCCTTGCCTCGCCTTGCCTTGTCTTGCTTTGACTCGCCTCGCCTTGCCTTATCTTTCTTATTTGCAAAACGGCATACTTATTTTTTCCCCGAAATATTGACTGTTAAAAAGGTGTACACAATATTGAAACTTAAAGTATACATAATGTATTTTCTAAAATCACAAATTGGTACAAAGCAACTACAAAGACAAGTTTAACGCATTAAAGCTGCATGCCTCCAGATTAGCTAAATGTTCTAAGATTTGAAGAAAAGTAAAAAATGATTCAAGATTCAAATAAATATTTACATGTTTTGATCGTTTAATGACTGATTTTGCTCTATTCATCACCATATTTCTACTTCATGACTAACACAGTAAGCCGTATTTTTTGCATGTTTTGACCTCATGTTGGTTATTTACGTGGGTTAAAGATGGCGTTTGCTATGAGTAAATTGCTCTCTTTGTGATAACATGCATAATTTATATGAGAATATTATATGAGGTTATTAATTCATATGCTAATATTGTTGACATGTATTGTATGTATATATTGTTTGTATATGTCTATATGCTGTACCATGCATACGACGAAATAAACTTTCTGTTCTGTTCTGTTTTTTTTTCAGTTCACTATATTTTACTTTTAAATACATATTCAAAATGTTCATGAAAATTAGCATGAATAGGCATGATGCTTTAAGTTTATGATTAGATTTTGATTAATTTTTTATTTATTTAGTGTTGTTACTTTCTATTTCTTATATAGCAAGAGTAGAGTATTCAATATACATACATTCATGTTACATATTTGTTATGATATTGTTCTAAATTTTAAAATGATATCACTTCTAACACGTATATATAGCTTTTATAGATTTGATCTTTTTGTTCATCTAACAGATATAGATCATATATAGATATAGTGTGCAAATCATTGAAGTAAAGTGTTATTTTTTATGAAATGTTCAAGAATAGATGACTCATCTAATGGTCTCATTTATTCGTAATTGTATTATACCCAGGTATATATTTAGAAACACTATACAATGTACAATGTCATAACTACCAGAAAGCTGTTTGCAGTTAAAAAAAGAGCTACAATGATATCTATGTACATTGACCGAAAAACAACTCGCCCAAACATTGTACAAGGTTAACATTTAGAAAAAAAGTAATGACCGTCATCAGCAATTGAAAAGAAATAAATCAATATGTTTTCACTGCATAGATGAATGTGAATGACAATTAAAAAAAACACGGCTCCTAGATGTGAAAGTTCGATTAATAGACCTCACAGCGTAGTATGAAAAGGATACTGTAACAGAAAACGGTTCAATATTTCCTTTTTTTCAGCAATTATGCCATTGACAAACAAGTATCTCATAGAAAGTATCATATTCGTTTAACTCAATTCATTCTCTGTCTATTTTCAGTCTTACGCCGTGGTGTCCCTCATTGTTGTGCTCGTATCAATAACAGTGTTTGTCATAGAAACTCTTCCATACTTTGGTTCCGTTTTCGTACACGCTTCCGACAAAACACGGAACATTACGAGCAAAGATCTGCTGGCTGAACTGGAGATATTCACAAACATTACCCCAAACGACTGCCTTCTCATCATTGACAATGCCTGTAACATCTTTTTCTTCATTGAATTCCTCATCAAACTCGTTGCTTCACCAGACAAGAGAAAGTTCTTCAAGAGTCCATTAGTGATAACAGAGCTTCTATGTTTAGTACCGTACTATATCGGCATATTTATAGTCCTAGCTCACCCGGATCCTATTATTATTTTTGATTTCATTAGAGTACTTTTCGCTACAAGAGTGTTAAGGATATTCCGTATATTTGTGCTCATGAAACATTTTTTAGCTTTAAAGATATTAATTTATACCATAAGAGCCAGCAAGAAGGAGCTGTTTCTACTTTTAATTGTTCTGATCATTGGAGTTGTGATTTTTGCGTGTCTTGAATATTATATGGAAATATTTTCAAATGCGGCAGACCTCGAGTTAGAGCATATACCGCTAGCATTTTGGTGGGCACTCATTACCATGACAACCGTAGGATACGGTGACGTTGTTCCAAAGTCAGGACTTGGATATGTGATTGGAGGATTCTGTGCAATAAGTGGTGTACTTGTTATTGCTTTATCAGTCCCAGTTATCGTCAATAACTTTACGGTGTACTACACGCATGCGCAGTCAAGAGAAAAATTGAAACTGCGACGGAAAAAGTTTGAACAGACGGAGAAGTGGCAAAGATTGAAGCAGGGTCTAAAGAGTAAGTTGAAAAGCGGAGCATTACAGGGAATGTTGAATGGAATCAGAAAACGTAACGGAGGAGTTGTGGCTCCAACAGAAACAACCAAAGCACCGCCTAAAATTCCTCTTTTGAAATTAGGTGGTGGAACAAAATCGGATTTACTTAAAACTGAAAATCAGACTGATAAAAGTGATGATAAGCAAAATCCTAGTACAGCGCGTGATATTATACTAGAGGACGTCAGTGAAACAGTGATTGCGGAATCTAGTGCTTCTGGAGAAGGTATATCTGTGATAGCTAACGATAGTAAACTGTTAAATGGGCATGCTACTAAAATAAACAATGAGAGTAAAGACACGTTAAAAATTCCGCATAAGACTCAAGTGCGGTCAAAGTTTTTCGGTGGGTCACTAAAAAGTCCGAATTTCTTGAGGGGCAGCACCAGATTAAAAAAAGACGAAAGTAAAGATTTAGAAATGTTGACCCCGAATTCAAAAGCACAAAAGAAACCCTCATTTAAAGTTTAACATATACATGTATATATTTACTGTACACTAAGAATATGCCAAAATAAAAATAAACAAGAAGCCATATTTCAACAAAAACTTATTGAAACCAGTCATTGATTTAACGCTAGATTCATCTCTTCTACATAACACATGACATTACACTGTGAACCGAATGGTAACCTGTTCAATTCAAACTGCCTCAAGTGTGACGACATCAAATTTCATGAATATTTCAACAGCTCATCAATTTGCACATTCTTATTTATGTGACATTAGCCACGACTCTTATTTGTTATAATGGAACAAAAATGATCCGTAAAATCGATATTGACAAGTATAAAAATAGCTCTTCTGTTCACAAAACGAATCAATAAAATGCGTTTTTAATGCCCCTAAAGTGATTTACTTAAGTTACATGTAATCAATATTTTAATCAATTACAAAGAGAGCATTTATTCTCTTTTGATTTAAAGCTGCATGCATCTAGATAAGCCAAATGAGTTCAAGAAAATCAACCTTAGGAAAAATGCATTAAGGGTCTAAGAAAAATAAAAATATTTCCAAGTCAAGAAACGATGTAATGAATGACTAACAGCATTTATCACCATATTTGTATTGCGTGACTAACGCAGTAAGGGCTATTCTTGCATATTCTGACCTATTTTTGGTAATTTTTCGTAGATTTCAAGTTCCGCTTGAAAAGTGTAAATTCCATTCTTTGTTCCCATGACAATATTTCAATATTTGAGACATTTTAAAATTATTCATGAAAATAAATATGAATTTGGAGGCGTGCTGCTTTAAAATATATAGAAATTGAAACAGGAAAAGCTATATGAAATTGCATCATACTATCGTTAACCAAAAACCGATCAACAACAACATTTCTGACTTAAAGGAGTTCAATTGTGTTTTCAGAACTCATTTAGCAGACGATAATATATCTCAAAATACGGAAACTTATACTATCCAGTTCATGAAATTCCTTTCCTTTCTCATTTTTAACATACACACCAACGCAGTAAGGGCAATTGTTGCATATTTTGACTTCTTTTCGGTTATTTACTTGGATTGTAAGTACCGCTATGTGCCAATTGATTTCTTTGCTTACTTCACAAAAATATTTCATTTTTAAATAAATACATTTTCAAAATGTTCATGGAAATTAGCATGAATCTGGAGGCATGCTGCTTTAAACAGTCTAGGTCTACTAGAATATATATTCATACAACATGTTTTATCTTGTTCATATAACACAAATTTTCCTCTTCAACATCGGGTCACACGTCATTTCATTACATTAAGAATCTTTTGTCTATATTTCACAGCATTTTATTTAAATTCAGATCAGAAATATTCAATGAATAGACAGAACATCATAAAAAATATAAAAGTATGAGATCATTAAATTTTACACATGCACATATGGGAAATTTTATAAAAATGCATAACATGTAATATAATTCGTCAATATCAAACAAAGTAATATTTACCTAAGAGATGTAATCTTTTTCACTTTAATAAACCGGACATTGCAGCGCCTGTTTCAAAGCTGTTGTCCTAAATATTTATATATAAACACATACATTGTACCAGATACTTTCAACACATACTAAATATATATAAATGTATATATTTTCGCATAAGATTTAGGACAAATACATCAAGTTCAAACAGAGCAATATCTATATATGAGATAAATGAGCCGCGTCATGACAAAACCAACATAATGGGTTTGCGACTAGCATGGATTCAGACCAGCCTGCGCATCCGCGCAGTTTGATCAGGATCCATGCTGTTCGCTTACAAACTCTATAACAAGTAGAAACCGATAGCAAACAGCATGGATCCTGATCATACTGCGCGGATGCGCAGGCTGGTCTGGATCCATGCTGATCGCAAACCCATTATGTTGGTTTTGTCATGACGCGGCTCAAATGTAAAGTTTTATCATAAATATTTTCACGACTAGATATAAGAACTGGACGTCACGAAACGCCGACAAATAAATACATACAAATTATGTATTCTATGAATATTATTATACATACAATTTTGCGTACAATACTAAATACTATTGGACTAATACAGAGCTATCAAACCTTCATTGTACAATGAGCTAGTCGAGTCTAATAAAGGTTTTGCAGCTGTGTTCGAATCCAATAGAATCAACTTTGTACTCAGAGCAATGTACATGTACAATGGCATCTTTATTTCACACCACAAAAATTATTGATTTGTGTCTTAAATGAAATTACAAAATCGCAAATTCATAAAGATGAAATGAATTGAAAATGTTGAAATCGCGAAAATTCATGAAGGTTAAGTTGACATAATGAATTTGTGAAGTTGATGAATGAATCCATGAAGTTCAAATGTCTCGATCTGTCTTTCGTTAAACCTTTTGAGGCTGACCAATTTCATTGTAAGCTTTACTTTTGTACTTTTTTCAGTAAACTAAGAATTTCCATAAACATACCTATTTTTAGCTCGACTATTCGATAAGAATAAGTAGAGCTATTGTAGTCACCCGAGCGTCGGCGTCGGCGTCTGCGTCTGCGTCGGCGTCGGCGTAACCACTTATGTTAAAGTTTTTGTAATAGTTCAAATATTTTCAAAGTCCATTGACATATGGCTATGAAACTTTGCACACTTGTTCACCATCATGACCCCAACCTGTAGACAGGAGGAGGTAACTGTATCAAGCATTTTGACAGAATAATGCCCCTTTTTCGACTTAGAATTTACGTTAAAGTTTTTGTAATAGTTAAAATATTTTCAAAGTCCATTGAACATATGGCTTTTGAAACTTTGCACACTTGTTCACCATCCAATGACCCCAACCTGTAGACAGGAAAGAGGTAACTCTATCAAGCATTTTGACAGAATTATGCCTCTTTTTTTCGACTTAGAATTTTACGTTACAGTTTTTTGTAATAGTTCAAATATTTTCAAAGTCCATTGACATATGGCTTTGAAACTTTGCACACTTGTTTACCATCATGACCCCAACCTGTAAAGAGGAGGAGGTAACTGTATCAAGCATTTTTTTTTTACTTTCAAGCACTAAGAATAGTCGAGTATTGCTGTCCTACCGACAGCTCTTGTCTTTTTTCTGATTTAATAATTATACAAAATTGGCCGACAAAATTTTTCTTATTTTTAGAAACCATTGTTGAAATATTTGTTGATAAAATTACTTTACCTTTTTAAACGGCATGGCCACACAATGTACCATATATTGCCATACTTGTTAAAGCGGCCTTCAGTTTTTATTTTTTTGTTGTTGGAAAAAACAACATACAATTCTGTTTTGTTTCAAACTTAGTATTTCAGTAATTCTATATTGGAAAAGTGCATTATACCATTGTTAGGCCTTCTTTAAAACAGCGTCCCAAAGAATTATTTATAGGGCGCCTTCTAAAAATAGAAGATCGTTACTAATTTACATATAGAGAGCGGATCGATGGATAAGAGGTATTTAGAGGGGTTTCCTTATTGTTTATGTATTTTATACGCTGTAAATTTTATTTTCCACCTTAATTCCTTTTAAGAAACGATTTTTATAAAAATAACATAAAGTTATTTAACCTTTAGAAAATATGAAGGCCGCTTTAAACGATATGGCAATCAAAAAATATTCTGTACAATGTCATACATATTTAAGATAAATATATATTTGTATATCATCTGTTACTGTCATTTATTCACTTCACGTTGCTTATGTTAAGCAGATGGATATCCAAAGAAATTAAAAGTGATACACACGAATAAAAATATTAATTTTTGTTGCGTTTTCTCTCAGAAAAGAAAGATAATTATTTAATTCGTTTAATTACACATTCATTTATATCTAGATATACATGTATTGTGTAATCCGAGACATCGTTGTGTAAATGATATGTGAGCGAGTAACACAGGAAGTGACGTTTTGCTCATTTTTTTGCTGCCAAGCTGTAAGAAAGAAAAAGAAATAAAGAAAGACAGAAAAAGAAAGAAAGAAAGACAGAAAGAAAGATTTTTCGAAACAGTTTGTATTTTTGTAATAATTTATCATAAATTGGCTTTTAATTATCCTTCATATAAGCAAGCATAAGCATTGTTGAACTGATTAATGTATGAAAAGATACTTTTATTTTCTCCATATTTGGAGAGCAAAACATATCTACAATTATATACATTGTCATATTTAGCTATGCATAAACAACATACGTTTTACTTGAATCTATAATACATTAAACGAATATGGTTGTATGAACTATGCTTGTATTAAGCCTTAATTAAGTATTTAAGCATTGAAGCATGTAAATAATTTAAGTTCCCAAATTGAGGATAAGTACAAAATTAAGTTCCCTATTATATAATGACCGTTGGTACAGACTGCTCTCTAAATTGAATGATCTTGTCGAAAACGAAATAAAACGGTTCATTACAGAATTCAATAAAATTATGCGTAATGGATAAAATTGACTAACATTCATTCTTGTTTCCGTTTATTAATATTTTGAGAATTCAAGTGTATTTGATTAAAGCTCCTTTAACATTTACATTTGTTTTAAGCAATATTTATTTTGCAATAAACTGCCAACATAATGTTTCATTCAAAATACACAAGATTATTCATATGGAAATTCTAAATTAAAACAATATATACATAAATTTATAAGTGTTCTTTACAGGGTTTCAATCGGAAAAGAGGAGAAAGCGAGAAGCTTATGCTAAGCTTCGCTTCTGACTATAGCCCTAAGCTGCTAAACTGCTATGATGGTGTAACGTTATTAATAATCAATATGCAATATTATTTTCAAGAAAGAAAGATAGTGAAAACAAAATTGAGTGGGTAGATTGTAATTATTAGATTAAAAGTTTCAGCGGATAAACTATTCAGAAGTTAATATTTTAAAAAAGCTTATAAATTTTTATATTACTTAAGAAAGAAAGGGAGCTTGATGTATTCAAGGATCATGGGTCAAGTCAACGTCAGAGTGGGATATTCATCATTTGAAACAATCTGTATATGAGATGTAATTATGTACCTGAGTGAAAATAAATAAATTAATGTCGTTGTCCGAGGATTCATTGCCGAAGGCTATCTGAAGTAACTAGGTGGATATGTGAGACATTACTTGGAAGATCAGCTCTTTGATTTGTGTAAATCCGACGTCGACAGTGTGAGAGAACTTAATCTGTCTCTTCAAGACCGCCACAACCACAAGCTGCTGAGTCTATAAAGTTAAAGTTTTTTTCTTTTTTTTTTAACATGAAGGGACTGAAAATATGTTTTCAAGATTTATGTATAACTTTGTGAAGGTCAAGACCAATAACTCGTGTGCAAAATTTCAGATCATTTGCTCACTACGCGTTTCGCGTCCTATGGATAACCAACGTTGCAGCGCCAATTGACCCCAAAATGAAAAGCGTTGCAACGCTTCTCACTCAATTCAGCCGGAAAAAATCGATTATCAATTTAGTACAGCGTATGTTTTAAATATTATCTTTTGCATAGTTGTCAATGATAATTTATGAAATATTTTCAAACTTTATGATTTAAGGCTATTAGACCTCAGTGGAGTTCCTTTAATAGTATCCTTTACATTTCAGATTTCAAGTAGTGAAAGGTTGCTTATCATGTAAATTCTGCGATACAATTAATAAAAAAACAGCAACAGGAACATGGTCTTCCGTATAGTTTCAATTAAGCACATTAACTTTTCCATAAACGCTAAGCCGCAAACAAGCTTGATATATTATTACATTGAAAAAGATCATTAACATATTTGCAGAAAGGTATTATAAATGAACTCTCATTTGCAATTCCAGCCAGATTAAATAACACGCCTTTGTATTCCCATCGTAGCGAATTGCAGGAAGTTAGTGTTTTATTTTATATCTTTCTATAATTGGATTTGAACTTTGTATAGATTTTATACATGCTTAGTTATTGAAAATCCGTCAGTCATGTTACGTGATATTGCAAATGAATATTAGTAATGCTCTGATTGGATCTTTTTTTAATTCAGTTTAAAAGCATTAAAGTAAAGTGCATACATTATATTTATCTTTGACATTTAAAAATAAACACCAAGTAATATGTACGCGCCAATCTGCATAGACAGAATGAAATCTATAAACTAAATCACAACTTACATCATGATAGAATATGATAAAAAGAAACACAACATTTCCTCGAAAGTTCTTAGAAATAAGCAATTTTTAGAGGTCCCTTATCACCAATAAATGTTTTATTTTTATTTCTCTTATTATATTAATTTTGGTATTCTGTTATAGCACTACAAAAG